GAGGTGCCAGGCTGACGGGGCAGTAATGGGCATCCTCTTCACTGCCTTAATGGCTGTGGGGGTCTTGCATTGCTACTCTGAGTGACATTGAATAATACACACATGTCATCACCCACATCCCCCGTGTGTGGTGTCGTCTTACCACCACCTAACATGAGGCCACGGGGGAAACTGCACGTGCGACAGCTCCGTGGACACGTTCCCCCAGCGACATGCAGCTCTTTATTTTAGTCTTTAATATCTAACAGACTCAGTGTGATTTGTAGATACTATTCTAAAGGCCCGGTGATGCTCCCCTCCTCTTCCTCCCTCCTTCTCCACTTTTCTTTGACTTTTTTAAACTTTCGAAATAACATATTTTAGATTTACACTACAGCAAGAGGTGAACGCATCACCAAACAAGAAGTTTTAGCAGTAAAAAGCAAAAAGACCTTAGCTTAGCGGAAAGACAATGGCTATGGAAGGCTATACCTTCTCTCTCTATACATATATATTAATGAAATTAAATCCATACCTCTCATCATACATGACAATCAACTCAAGATGGATCAAAGGCCAAAATATCAGGAAGTTACCGGAGGAAAATGAAGGAAAAATACCCCAAAACATTGGTGTAGGGGACGAATCCCTGGGTAAGATCCCCAAAGCAGAGGCAGCAAAAGTACACTGCACAAATGGGGACCACGTCAGACTCCGAGGCTTCTGCACAGTCACCGAGACAATCAAGACAGTGACGAGGCATCCAACAGGATGGAAAAGCACTCGCAACTATTTCTAAATGCAAAGGCTTCAAGCGAGTGACATCACAGCCAACTAACGCCTTTCTCTACCCAGGGAAGCCGTCACCAGGATCCGTGACCTGGACCCAAGCCAGCCAACCATGACCATCCCCACTGCCACCTGCTTGGGCTGATCACCATCATCTTGAACCTGGGTTACCAGGCAACTGGCTGCGTGGTCAGACCCCAGGAGAGGACTCAGGGTCACTTCCAGCTCCCAACATACCAGCAGAATGCTAGGATCAACCAATGTGACCTAAATACCCAGGTGGCTCCACGGCAAGGGCCCTTCTGACCCTTCTTATCGCAGAGCAAGCCAATGGGAAGATATTTGGGGATGCTCAAGTCCACCCTGAGTCTAAACCCTCCTTGTGTCACCCCTGCCGTGGAGGCCATCTCCACTCTGTCGCACCCCATATGATTTTTTCGCTGTGTACATCTCTCACCTGCTGCGGTTTGCATCTCTGAGAGGCAGCTGGGGCGTTCTGCAGGCAGAGCCGCTGAAGGGATCTGGAGCCAGAAGACTCACAAGGCAGCTGGGGGGTTGGGAGGTGGTTCTTGTATAGATGACGTCACCTCCCTAAGTCTCGGTGTCCTCGACCGCGAAGCACAGCGTCAGCAGCGTCCCCTCCACTGAAAGATGTGTGATGCAGCAACTCTGGGGCCTAGGGCCTGGAGAGGGTCCCCCTTTAAACACTACAACAAAACGGAAAAGGACAGAATGACATGAAAGTTGTTGATACCAAGGTGAACTCAGGAAAGCGGCCCTAATTGATCTTGCCTCTGTACCCCAGACACCGTGTGGACCCATCAACATACTAGAGGGAGTAAGGCCAGTGAGCAGGGAGGCTAAGATGCAGGAGGCTTGACCCTTGACCCCTCTGGGTATCACTGAGGGCTGCAGGTACCCCCGACCCCTCTGTGTGACAACGAAGGCTGCAGGACCCCTGATCCCTGACCTCCCTTTGTGTCACCCAGAACCTCAGATCCCTGACCTCTGACCCCCTGTGTGTAACCGAGGGCCTCAGGACCCTGACCCCTGACCCTTCTGTGTGTCACCGAGGGCTACAGGCCCCCGACCCCTGACCCCTCTGTATAGCATTGAGGGCTGCAGGCCCCCCGACCCCTGACCCCTCTGTATAGCACTGAGGGCTGCAGGCCCCCCGACCCCTGACCTCTCTGTATAGCACTGAGGGCTGCAGGCCCCCCGACCCCTGACCCCTCTGTGTGTCACTGAGGGCTGCAGGCCCCCCCCCAACCCCTGACCCCTCTGTATAGCACTGAGGGCTGCAGGCCCCTGACCCCTGACCTCTCTGTATAGCACTGAGGGCTGCAGGCCCCTGACCCCTGACCCCTCTGTATAGCACTGAGGGCTGCAGGCCCCCTGACCCCTGACCCCTCTGTATAGCACTGAGGGCTGCAGGCCCCCTGACCCCTGACCCCTCTGTATAGCATTGAGGGCTGCAGGCCCCCCGACCCCTGACCCCTCTGTATAGCACTGAGGGCTGCAGGCCCCCTGACCCCTGACCCCTCTGTAAAGCACTGAGGGCTGCAGGCCCCTGACCCCTGACCCCTCTGTGTGTCACCGAGGGCATACATGACACACAGAGGACACTTGCTTGCCATGAGACCTTAAAGTTCCAGATTTCATAAATAAACACACATGGCACACATGACGTTTTGTTTAAGATAAATAATAAATAAACTTCAAGTGTACAGTTATCCTGAATGTGGAACACATCTATGGCAAAATTATTTTTTAAATTTATTCTAATGCATTTTAAATAAAGGTATGTTCCATTATTTGGGAATTCTTTTTTTCTTTGAAGGATTTATTTATTTTTATTGGAAGCACAGGCTTAGAGAGAGGAGAGACAGAAATATGTCTCATCTGCTGATTCACTCCCCAGGTAGCCACAGCTGAGCTTCAGTGTTTCAGTGCTGGGAGCTAAATGCGAGCTGGAGCAGCCGGGACACGAACCCGTACCCATGTGGGATCCCAGCGCTTGTGAGACAAAGACTTAGGTACTGAGCCGTTGCACTGGGGCCCTCCTTAGGAATTCTTCAAGAGTCATTCACTGTGGCTGCGAAGCTCAGGTTTAAGCAAGCATCCTGTTATTTCATGCAGGAGCCTGAGACGGTTGTGTAACAGCACTGGCTTTCAACTCCAGACAGCTGAAGACCAAAGGAATGGTGGCATGGGAGGAGCCCATGTCCACATTCCTGATAACTGGTTGAGCAGTGCCCGAGGCGGTCCTGGCAGTTTCTGTGTGGGCTTCCGTTTCGTGGTCACTGGGGGCTGCCTGAGACCCCCTTCTCCACAGCGGCCCCCAGCCTCCCTGAGTCACATCCCTGTCCCATGTCCTTCAGCAAGTCCGGCCTCTGGGGCTGGCCTGCCAGACACAGGTCACAGAATTTCATGTTCCCAAGAGCCAGCAAGTATCAAGGGCTTTGAGAGACCCAGGCCGGGCCTTGGCACATTTCAGAGACACAGGGTCCTCCCAGCACTGGGTGACACCCCACACGGGATCGCTACACACACATCTGAATGACACATGTTCAGAAACCTAGGGGTCCAGACCCACACGTCCAGGTGCAGAGACGTGGCCACACACTCAACTGCCCATGTTCACTGAGACAAAAGCCTCATTGAAAGCACACACAGGCTCAGTCATCACCGTGGACACACACGCCAAGGATGCTCAGAGGAACGCACCCACACAGCCCAGGGTCTGCTTGCAGAACCAAGCCCTGCCACCCTCACAGGCTGCAACCCTCAACTCCAGGACCCCGAGTTACCACCTAGCCTGTAAGGGTCTGGCTCAGCCAAGTCCCCAGCCACAGCCAGGCTCCCGTTTCCCCCTGTGCGTGCCTATACCATTTCTACCAGCTTTCTCCTGTTATGGTCCCTGTGTGCTTCTGGTAGGACCTTCACAGTGTACAACCCCAAACTACCCTCAGGCCCCTTGCCCAACTCCTTCTCCAGGCCCAGCTGGCCGAGTCAGAAACCGAACCCTGCGACTCTCAATGGGCTCCCACCTGCTGGCTGCTCCCCGCCTTCCCCAGCATGTTCTCCATCCTGCCCACCACTCCCAATCGCCCTGACCAGAACCGAGACCAAGAGCTGTGTGTTCTGGAAGAGACCTCCCTCCTCCCCCCAGTTCCCCAGAGTCCATTCCCCCACACCTGAGGTCTCCACCACAGAGCTGACAGTGGTTGCTGGTGCGTCCCCACACTGGTCTTCGAGGGGCTGTGGCAGGTGTGTGCTGGTCAGCTGGACCCCTCCAGCTGACTTCCGCAGCTATCTCGGTGGGAGCCTCAGGCCGCCCTGTTTGGGTTGCAGCCAAGGGACTCTGCTCCAGGCTCGGAGCCTAACAGTGAGGGCTTCCCGCTGGCTGCCGGCCCGCTGGACAGAGTGAGGCTGGCTTGTCCACTGAGGAAGCTCAGCCCCCGGGGCCTGGGCTTAAGAAGTGCTCAGGGACGCCTGGGCGTGCGTTTGACGGCATTTGGCCAATCAGATGCGCTGGTGCGTGCTGGCGCACATTTGAGACTGCAAAAGCACACGGTCACACGGAAGATAAAAAACCTCGCACACACAGAAGCACCACGGAACAGACACGTCCAATCACACACAACCAAAAGCACACCAACACACACCTGACACACACACACACACACAGATCCACACTACATGCCCAAAGGTGCAGGACACGCAGCCATACACCATCCTAAAGTCCACACAGATCACTCCGGAAGGCACAGGAAGAGTGGGAACACACACCCCACACGGGTAGGCACACACAGAGCTACACACAAGCTCGCACAGTCACACCCGGCCACATTCACAAGAAGGAAACACGCGTTTGGCCACCGCGCACAGGGCTCGCGCCCCCACGGTGAGACTCAGCCAACCCCAGCTCACCCACGGGCCTCTGACATGCCCACAGTCCCAGACCCAGAAGGATACTTCAAAGTTCTCACTGACAATGAGACTAGAAGACAAGTTTATTTCAGCACAGAAACTGTTTAAAACCCACTCATAGGAGGGGTCTTTACAAGCTTACGGGGAGGGGGGGGAACTTGCATTGTGAAAAACTATGCAAAACTTAAACGGAACCAACATACACTCATCTTTACATTTCACTCCCTCCCACCCCACCACTTTTTTGCAAGGACCCTCGGAAGCAGCTACAAACTTTGGCTAGACCCAGCCTCACTTACCCCTGTCCGACAGACGCTCACACCCAGGGACTCGAACCGCCGTCGGAGGGGAGTGGACAGCACTGGCACGCGCTCCGCGTCCAGCCTGCAGTGGCGGAATTCCGGCCGGTGACAGCTAGGGCCACACACAGGGCCACACCCCTCCCCGCGCAGACCCCCGGGGGCCAGCGCGTCCCTCCTTTCCTGCCCTGGTGCTGGCATCCTTCGCGTCAGCATCCCAGCCGGGACCAGCCACTGTCACTTTCTTCAGCGTGCTGCGCAGCGCTCCCTCTGCTCCGGCTGGCAGGTGCAGACGCCTTGCGCCTCGCACACCTCGCCCCGACCCTGGCATCGCCAGCCAGCCTCCTTCCCTGCCCCCGCGCGGACTTCGCTCAGCGCGCCTCCTCGCGTGTCCTCCCGGCCACAGACCACGAGCGGCTACACCCAAACTCGGATCCCCGAGTTCCCTGCGCCGCCCACAGGACTACATGTCCCAGAAGGCCGCGCGCCATTGCTTCCGGCCCTCTCAGGGGCTCGGACCGTTGAGGCAGCGCGCCAAGCCCGCTGGGAAATGTAGTTTCTGGAAGGCGTGGCCCGTGGGAGAGCGCGTCTTGCCCGCCCAGGCGGTCCGCGAGTGGCGGTGCGCGGGCTGGGGACGCGGCCGCAGACCCCGCGGGGCTTCTGAGCCGTGGGGAGCGAAGCAGAGACACTGCCTTCAGTAGGATCCCGGTGTAGGGACGTTGTGTTTGCTAATTGGGAGAATTCGGCCACACTTCAGTGGGTATTGGAACTATTTTTCAACAGCCTTGCTCTCTGATCGATATGTGCTAATCCTGAAGCCTATGTGGATTAAACTGTACGTGATGTGTCTATTTTGCTTCACAAGAATTCAGATTTGAGGGCAGGCGGGTGGGAGTCGGGACAGAGAAAGCAGCTGGGGGCTAGGCAACACCCAAGCAACCATGTGGCGAGAAGGCCGGCACGTGGTGTCATGTAGTGGCTATTGACCCCGTCCATTCTGTGTGTCCACCCGAGAATGGGGTGATGATTGCAGTCAGTGGCTTCGCTTTGGTCATGTTCCTTCGCGGACACTCAGGGGCATCACCACTGGTCAGCTGAGGGCTGGCGCTAACAGACCACGTCACATCCTGTCTGGGATTTGTGACCAATGGGGAAGAGCGAGCAGGTAGCGGGTAATGGAAAGATGTCATCGCTGGACGAGGTCTCCACTGCCCTCAGCTCCTGCCATCCACAGTGCAGCTCTGGGGGTTGCCAACAGGCACCACTTAAAAAAATAATAAACCCAGATCTGTAAGCTGCTTCTTGGTGGCGGCTGGGGTGTGGACAAGGTCCTCAATCAACTTTTCATAAAGCATCAGTTTCCGCCATTCTTCTGTCCAAGCTTCTCTATAAACCCGATAGCTGCTCTTGCTTCAATTTTCTAACAAGTTAGCACAAGGTTATTCTGGTACAAAAGGTTTTTGAAATCCATACATACTGATTGGTGTTTTTTTTCCATGAATTTTTTTGAATCCCTTGTGTAAGTCAAGGTGAGGCAGGGATAAGACATTTAAAAAGTGATTCTGAACAGCATGTGGTCATGCCTCTGCACTTGTGAAGCTCAGACACTGAGCTGCAACCTCACAGGGCCATGTCCAAGAGGCCAGCAAAGCTCAAGGGGAGAGTCCACCTGCAGCCCTGCCCCCCCCCCCACCGTCCCTACTTCCTCTTTCCAACTTTGCTCCCCGCTACCCACATTCAGGTCCCACCCAGTTACACCAGGATGCTCTCGCTCTGTCTCCTGGGATCCTTCATTTGGTCGTGTTTGCAAAGTCCCTTACGAGCCACGGGAGGTATGGTGTTCCTAGGTTCTGCGGACTGGGACAGACGCCCACAGATGAGCCTCATTCCACCTCGTACTCTTCACAGGGAGGGAGTGGCCAGGGGAATGGCCTGCTTCTGAGAGGGCTATTCTCACGAATGGACCTCTCAGATCCAATGTTGCTGGCCAGAGGTTGGACCAGGCGCTAGCTGAGAGCCGAGCTGAGCACGAGCGTGAAACACTTGGCTAATCTGGGGACTGAAGTAGTGGCTCCAAGACCCGTCACTGACACAAGGACCTTGATCATCAGCACATTTTTAAAAACAACTGGCGTGGAGTCAAGGGGCTGGCACTGTGCCCAAGAGTGTTCAGCCTCCACTTGCGACCTGCTTCTTCTGTGTCACAGCGATGCTTCAGGTGTCAGGTGCTGCTGCTGCACCTGGGAAGGTGGCACATGACAGTGCAGGTGCTTGATGCCCTGCCCTCCCTGCAGGAGACCTGGGCCAGCCCTGGCTCTGCCAACCACTGGGTGGTGAACCAGCAGATGAAGCATCTTTTTCACTTTGTCTCTCCCTCTTGCCACTCTGCATTTTAGAAATGTGGCACCAAGCAGCATTAAAAGGTTTCTCAGAAAACATTGTTGAAATATGTACTACTGTAGAGTAAGATTTTTTTTTATCTTAAACTGTTAGGTTTAAGGAGCCACTAAATTTTTGAAGTTATAACTTTTAGCAAGAAAACAGTATTTTTAAACAAGATTTATTTGTTTGGAACGGATCTACATATAGAAGAGAGAGCTAAGACAGATCTTATACCTGCTGACAGTCAGGAGCTGGGAGCGTCACCCAGATCGCCCACATGGGTGGCAGAGGCCCAAACACTTTGGCCCTTTTCGGTTCCTTTTCCTGGACCACAATCCGGTAGCAGGACTGGATGCAGAAGTGCCACGACACCAATCTGCACCCTCACGGGATGGTGACAACGCAGGCAGCAGCTTTTCCTGGCACACCACCCCGCCGGCCCGCAAAAACCACATGTAATAAACTCAACACTTCAAAAATGGACACGAGACTGAGAAAGATCTTAGTTTAAATTTTATTTTTATTGTTGACACCATTACAGATAGAACAACCACAACCATATTAACCAACCAAAAAAAAAAAAAACCCTGTGCACAGAAACAAGATGAAATTAAAAAATGCACCACGATGTTAACACACGGTATCTGGCTGGTGACAATACGGATGTGTCGGTCAACTACATTTCTTCAAAGTTTCTATGATGGACAGGTACTGCGTATATAATGGGAATACATGTTAATAAAGGCGATTACAAAAACATAATGGTAAAGATCACTCCGGGGAATTGAGACACGATGCTTAACCATAATCCCACAACCACATGATTTCTGAATTCTTTTTTCCAGATTTCTTCCCATCTTTGACACACACTTGTCATTAACACCCTCATAATCATGGACTGGTCAAGATGTTAACAGTCGCTGGTGCTGGGTGTTGGGAATATGGGTGGATTTTCCTCTGCTTTGCTGAATCTCCCAAGATTTTTAATGACTATGTATTATATTTGTAATGGAAAATTGCACACGTAAAATTTAGTACCAAAATACCAAAAATTATTCAAGGAATTTGAGACAAAATTTTTACCCATAATCCCATAGTGGTAGTAGTAATTGTTTTTCACATCTCTTTTCATTTTAAATTTTAGGTGTACATATTCAATACGGTTAGATTTATATGTTTGTGCACTGAAGCAAGATGGAGGAAAGGGCTCCAGATGGTAAGAGTAGCAGTTGGGTGTTGGGAATATAGGTGAATGTCTTTTTCTTTTTTTCTAAATTTGTGGTATTTCCTAATTTTTCCTTGGGATAGGCATAATGCTTATAATAAAGGCATACATAATAAGTGTTGTTATCAGGATACTAATGTAAGGAATTTTAGAAAAAAAATTTTAAGATGAAAGCACTTAATCATTATTCCACAAAGGTAATATAATAGCTCTTGGAAAAGCGTATTTGACACACTTATAAAGCTGTGCACAGAAATGAGAACAAGCTTGATACCAACAGTGTCATTGTCTTTGGGTGGTAGAAACATGAATTTTTTTCCTCCAATTTTCCTGAATTTTGATAATGAGTTCAAATCATATGTTCACAATGGAAACGTGATTATAAACTTTTTAGTAATACTACCATAAAGAACATTCAAGGAATTTAAGAAAATACTGCTCAACTATAAGCCTACAAGAACAACACAGGAGCTTTGACTATAAGCGTACTTCTTAAACAGCTATAACTGTAGTATAAATATAATTTTGTGTCCTGCTTTATTCCACTTACTATTCCTGTAAATATAATTCCACACTGTTACATAACTCTTTATCATTTTTAAACAGCTGCATAGAAGTCCAAGGATGCATTTGCTTAATCATTCTCCTACTGTTTGACATTGAAGTTGTCCCTAATTTTTCATTTATCTAAGATTGGAATGGACTCACTGACTTCTTGGCAAGTTACTTCCTGAAGTGGATCTGCAGCTCAACACTGCCAGCAACAACGGACCTACCGAGCTTAACCAATGGCATCGACAGCTGCTTCCTCTGCAAATGCGTCCTGCCCGAAGCAGCGCGTCACTTGCCCTCGCTCCTCCAGGGGTTACTGCCAACCTTGGCTCTTCCTATGCAGCCGGACCTTACAAACACCACACTACCAAGACAAGTCCCTTCTTGCAAATTGCTCAGGACACCCGACTCAAGTTCACGCCCACGCCTGGCCTTCCCCTCCTGGCTTCGGGTGTTAGCTTTTGTGTGTCTCTCTCTCCCAGGTCTGCCCAAGACTTAGGACTCCCTCTGGCTTACTCATGGTTGCTTCTCGGGCATTTCCACAGCCTCTCCCTAGACTTTGGCATTCAGCACAACTCTGATAACACCCCCTTTGGGTCCTAATCCCGCAGGTGTAGGAGAGTAAAAACGCAGACACACTTTCCCCAGGGGGTGATTTTGATTTTTGCTTACTCAGATCATTTGCACTTATCTTTTTTTTTTCACTCATTTACTCTAGATCTACTATTTTTTTGAAGGTTTTTTTTAAAAGTTTTAAATTTTTTTTCCCAGCCAACTCAAGGGCAAAAGATTTAAGATAGCCATTATGTGAGGGGCAGGGAATAGAAACAGCACAGGTGGCCACAGAGCAGGACATGGGGGAGGGGACTGGACGGGGGTTTAAGCCTCAGACTCGTGAGGCCACTCTGTGAGTGAGAGGAAAAGTGAGGCGATAAGCAAGACATGATAGGCAGCTTGGAAATCCTTAGGAGGGCTAAAAGGGACAAATGGAGACAAAACAAATTAAGGCTGCTAGGGAACCTGAGCTCATGTTAAGCTGGGCTTGAATAGAAAGAAAGCTTTTTATTTTTTTATTTTTTTTTTGTTTTGTGTTCTGTTTTTAATTTTTTTTTTTTTTTAACGCAAGTTAGATATAGGGTTAGAGGATCTGACAGGGAAAGAAGAGGAATCACGGTCAGCGATAGACAGATCTAAGGATACTAGCTCCTGGGCACCCAGGGTGCCAACGAACCGAACCGGGGCAGCACAGTCTCCCACCGCACAGGCGGGCCAAGCCACATTGCTACGTGTCACTTAAGGCAGAAGCGCACAGCACGAGGGATGAGAGGTCATCAGCCTGCATCCGTATGAACAGCGTCAGAGTCTCTCGCATGGTTTCCAACCTTCAGTAGGCACCGTTGGGATCCCAGTGATGGTTGCAACCCATTCTTTAAAGGCAAAGATGTTAAGATTTACAGGGAAAAAGTTTCAGAGTTTATGAAATCCACTATCTATCTAATACATGGGGAGCATAAAAAGTAGAAAAAGGAACGAATTTGCACAAAGATCACCGGCAAGTACACACAGGATGGCAGCTGAAGAGGTGGTGAAGGCTTGCGCCACGTCGGATGTCGAGGTGAGGACTGCACAGGGGTGCTACGAGCAGGTCTCCCCTCGAATGGCACGGTGATGGACACGGCGGCTCTCATAGCTACACCTTCACAAGACAACTAAGGGACAAGACACCAGGATTCCAAAGGAGACAGACAGAATTCAAAGAACACACAAGAAATCTTTCTCAGGATCTAAGACACTTAGAAATATAGTCAAATTTGTTGCTCTCTTCCTCCTCCAAAACAAAAAACCAAAAAAAGGCAGAGTAACCAGGGAGGGTGCCTCTGCATAGTAAACTTCAACTGGATCTCATAGTAATCTAAATAAATGTGATCACTGTTTTTGCTATTTACACCTCAGGTAAATGATACATAGGCGAAATGGGTAGCGTTTGAGGCAGTCTGTAGTTTTGAGTACTCGGTTTTCCTGCAAGCCGCTTCCTCAGATGTCAGGTGAAGCTCTGGGCTTGGGCTCTGCCCAGCGCATCCCCGTCAGGCGGGCCGGGAGAGCAGTGCCCACGGGCCACTCCCCGTCCCAGTCATCTGTTGCTGAATCAGGTGTCTGTGTCCTCGGGTCCTGTGAGGTGGTCTGAGGCGCGGGCTTGGCGGCCTTCCCGCTCAGCCAGTGTGGGTGCTCTGGTGAGTGGTGAGAGACAGGTAGTCGCTGAAGAGCTGCCCACAGACGTCGCACTTGAAGTACTTGTCGTCGGCTTGGTGCGCAGCGCCGGCGCCGGCGTGTTGGGTGTAGCTGGAGCACTCCCCGAAGGCATCTTCCGGCTCAAACACGATCACGCTGGCGTGGGCTTTGAGGTGCTCGCTGAACGCCGCCCCGGAAGTGAAGGTCTCCGTGCACTCCTGGCAGTCGTAGCATGGCTCTTCAATCTCAATCTCCTGATCTTCACCTTCCTCCTCCTCTTCCTCCTCCTCTTCCTCCTCCTCTTCTTCCTCCTCTTCCTCCTCCTCCTCTTCCTCCTCCTCCTCCTCCGGGTCTTCGATGTCAACACCGTCAGGCTCGTCGGCATCCCCCTCCGGCTCATCCACTCTCTCTTCGGGGTCTTCGATGTCGGCACCGTCTGGCTCGTCAGCATCTAGGTGTGGATGCTCGGCCTCGTCAGCCTCCTCGTTCGGCTGCTCCGCCTCTCCGTCTGGCTCTGCAGCCTCCCCGTTCGGCTCGGCGGCCTCCACCTCGGGCTCGGCGGCCTCCACCTCGGGCTCGGCGGCCTCCACGTTTGACCCCTGGATCTGCAGCACTTCCTGCGGGATGACCAGGACGTTGGCTCCCGCGGCCCGGGCGGCGTCTTCGTCGCCATCGCGGCCGCCCTGAGGCCGGAGCTCCCTGTGCTCGGGGAGGATGGCGCTGTGAGCGAAGACCGGGCTGGCTCCTTTGAGAGGCTCGGCGAGGAACGAGGTGTGGGTGAAGGCGGGGCCGTAGTCGTAGGGCTCGTCCTTGTGGGCCCTGGCGTGGTGGTCCCCCAGCTCGGAGGCCGTGAGGAAGCTCTCCCCGCACACGGTGCAGCGGAAGAGTTTCTCTTGGCTCCCGCTCCCCTGCAGCGCGGCGAGCGCCAGGCGTGAGGCGATGGCCTCCCGGGCCTGCCGCCTCCGCTCCAGCAGCTCCTCTGCTCTGTGCAGCCTCAGATGCTCGTGCAGGGCAGAGCCGTGGCTGAAAGCCTGGCCGCACTGACAGCACCGGACGGACGGCCCGGCGACGGCGGGGCTCCTCTCGGCGGCGCGGCTCTTCCGCGGCCTCGCGGGCAGGACAGACACGAAGGCGTCATCGCACGCCTTCAGGGCGTAGAGCTGGTCCTGCTCGTGGACTCGCTGGTGCTCGAAAAGGAACGAGCTGTGGATGAAAGACTCGCCGCACTTGGGGCACTCGTAGAGCTGCTCTCCGGTGTAGTCTCTCTGATAGTCGCTGACGGAGCGGGTGTGGTTCACAGAGTGGGTGTACTCGCGGCTGTCCACGAGACACGTGGCCTTGGAGCTGTGGACGCTCTGATGGTCTGTGAGGTCTGTGAGGTCCACGAAGCCCAGCCCGCAGTCCTCACATTCATAAACGGAGTCATCCTTCGGAGGCTCACCTGAGTCGGAACCCTGAACCACAGCAAACTCAACGGTCTCCTGGCCCTGGGTCTCTGCACCAGGGGTCACCTCCACAGTGAGCTGCTCGCCAGCCCTCTCCTGCTCCTGGGTCTCTGCATCAGGGGTCACCTCCACAGTGAGCTGCTCGCCAGCCCTCTCCTGGCCCTGGGTCCCCTCACTGGCTGTCTCCTCTCCACAGATCTGCTGAGGAGCCCTCTCCTGGCCCTGGGTCTCTGCATCAGGGGTCTCCTCCACTGTGAGCTGCTCGCCAGCCCTCTCCTGGCCCTGGGTCTCTGCATCAGGGGTCACCTCCACAGTGAGCTGCTCGCCAGCCTTCTCCTGGCCCTGGGTCTCTGCATCAGGGGTCTCCTCCACTGTGAGCTGCTCGCCAGCCTTCTCCTGGCCCTGGGTCCCCTCACTGGCTGTCTCCTCTCCAGAGATGCACTGAGCAGCCCTCTCCTGGCCCTGGGTCTCTGCACCAGGGGTCACTTCACCAAAGGTTTGCTCGCCAGCCTTGTCCTGGCCCTGGGTCTCCTCACAAGGGGTCGCTTGGCCATTCTTGCCATCATTCTTTTGGTGGATCCCCTTGTCATGGGGCTCCTCGCCGCGGGGCTCCTTGCCACGGGGCTCCTCGCCATGGGACTTGCCGAGGCTCTTCTGGCGTGCACCAAGGTTGCTGGTGTTAGTAAAATACTGCCTGAACCTAACTTGGTTGCGTGCTTGCTCTTGACCATAGCGCTCTTGGGCATAACTTGTCTGAGGGTCAGTGGGGGCCCAGCTGCAAGTGACGGAGTGTTGATAGCTTCTGCTTCCAGAAGGCTTCTCTCTGTCATGAATCTTCTGATGCTCAGTGAGGTCGAAGATGTGAGCAAAGAACTCCCCACACTCGTGACATTCATAGAGCTTCTCTCTTGGGCGAATTCTCGGCAGCTCCCCAAAAGGCAGGGGACAAAAGGCAGAGGTCTCACCGCTCCTAGGCTCAAGGTACTTCTTTTTAGCTCGAGCTTTCTGATGCTGGCGGACGCTTGAGCTGGGAACAGGAAACTCAGCACCCTGCTTTGGTTCACTGGGTCCCTCTCCTGCAGGGCTTTGCTGAGGTCCGGCAGAGGACACACCCTGTGTAACAGAGTCCTCGCGATTGCTCTTCACGGCCCCTTCGGAAGGGTTCTCTCTAGCAAGAATCTTCTGCCGCTTATTACCAAGGTCCGGCAAGTAAATGGAGGATTCTCCCCTCTCCTCGCATCCACTCAGGTCATTCATCAAGTGGCGTTTCAGAGGTCGGGGAGCGGCGAGGCCGTGGATTACAGATCTCATGGATTCCTTTCCTTCAGAGCTGTTGCCTCCTGCACACATTTTCTGGTAGCTGCTGAGGCTGGAGCTCGGCCCGGTGGACTCTGCCATCACCCACGGTTTGCTGGGCCCTCCCGCGCTGTGGCTCCTCGGAGCGGCAGCAGAGGCCAGGCTGTGAGTCACGCAGCTCTCGCTCAGCTTCCTCTCCCAGGTGTTGTCTCCGGTGGGAGAGCCCTGGCTCGCACTGGCGCTGGAGCTGCTGGCGGTCGCCTTCTCGCCTTCCTCCTCTTCGGGTGGCTTGGATATGGTGTGGCTCTTCTGAGACTCTGTGAAGGGCGTGCTGTGGACGATGGACTTTCCATACCCTTGGCCTTCAAAGAGACTCTTCCGAGAACGAAGTCTTGGATACGCACTGAAGTCTGAGCTCGGCAGGAAGTCATAGAGCTTCTCCTTGATGTACATTCGCTGATGCCTCTTAAAAGACTGACCAGGGATAAAGGTTTCCTCGCACACTTTGCCCCTATTTTCAAATGGGTTTCCCCGAGCATGGATCTTCAGATGTTCCTTCAGAGAGAAGCTGTGGAGGAACGTGTCCCCGCACACTCTGCATTCGTACAGCTTCTTCCCACACATCTTCTGGAAGCCGCCGAAGGCCGCGCTGGGCCGCAAGGCGTCTCGCTCCAGCTCACGCGGGCGGGCGCGCTGGCGCTCACGCCCGAACTCCCGGGCGTCGTTGAGGTTTCTTCTGCCGTGGATTTTCTGATGCTCAATGAGGGCAGAGCTATGAAGGAAGGTTTCCTTACACACCTTGCACTCATAGAATTTGTCTTTGCCATACATCTTCTGCAGCTCGCTGAAGGTTGGGCTGGGCATGAAGGCCTCCTCATAACCCTGATCCCGGCTTTCCAGGCGGTAGTCCCTGTGGACATTCCGATGCAGAGCCAGAGCGGCACTCCTGTGGAAGGTTTCCCCACAATCCTTGCATTCGAAACGCTTCCCTCCAGTCTGGCCTTGCTGATCTTCACTGATGGCCACGCTGTGGATGAAGGACTCGCCGTACTCGTACAGGTTCTCTCTAGTGTGCATGATCTGGTGCTCGACAAACTCCGAGATGACACTGAACGAGCGCCCGCACTCGTCGCACACGTAGGGCATGGCGCCGAAGCCAGCCGGCCGGGCCGTGCTGCACGAGGGGCTGCTGGAGCTGCTGGCGCTGCTGGAGCTGCTGGCGCTGCTGGCGCTGCTGGCGCTAGGGGCCTTCCTCACCTCACCACCACACTCAAAGGGCTTCTTCCTGGCCCTCTGGTCACAGCTCGGGCCCTGGCCATCTGTGTCAAAAGGATAGCGCCTCTTTCTTTCAAGGACCCTCCTTCTAGAAGCCAGGTTTGGGTTAAGCCTGAAGCCTGCCCTGAAGGCACTACCTTCATAACCCCTCTGCTCAATAGCTGAGTCCCTCTGATGGAACGGCCCATCCTTCCAACCATCGTCGGCCACTCTGGGGAACCTGTGCGAGCGCTCAGCTGCCTCTCTAGCTCTCCTGGACCTGGAGCTGCGGGACACATCCTTGATGAACTTTTCCATGATCACTCCATGAGAAGATTCATCTTCACAAATTCCACGCCGGTGGGTTGATTTTTTGGCTTCAGGCATGGTTTTCAGGCCTAGAGAGAAACCCCACAGATAAATATTCCCTAGTCCCCACACTTGTACAGAATGTCAGCAAGACTTGGAGAGGACCTTTTCCTGTGAGGCCTGGCAACACAGAGTGGAGGTGTCTCAACATTTATCTCCCTCTTGTGTGGCTCATGTGTAAGATCTGTGTACTCACCTCGACTGGTGCTAGGGTAGGCACTTCTCTTGGATCTTGACGAGTGGCCTTGCATCATGTGGGAGTGGCCATCATTTTCAGCAAGTTGTACCCCTGTGCACAAAACAAGATGATGGCGTAAGCTCTAACCTCTGTTTCTCTAAGCCACCAGCGCGTACTCAGTTAAGTGTCTTTCATTTGCCATCTCATTTCCATAAGGCCCATATCTGAACCTGGTGTTCTAATCTGCACTTGAATGAATCCTGATTCCACCCAGAAATTTGTACAAAGACCAGATGTGATTCAGAATTCAGAATGTCTAGTCTTCCCTCCTTGCAACTGCTTCTGAAGTCTCACAGGTTTCCTGGCCTCCATGGTCTTCCTCCTACCTCTGGTGGGCTTTTTCCACCTACACTCTTGGGACCCACAGCTTTGGACCTGCAGAGCCAACGATCCACTGCCAACCTTACTAGAGTCCACTTAGGAGCTCAGGATCCCAGTTTAATTCTTCTCTATGACAGCTACAGAAAAATATCAACTGTTGTGGCAAGAGTCATTACCCTATACAATGTGTTCTGTGCTATGTAGTCTTCACCCAAAGTCAGTGAGATGTCTTCAAAATCCACCTCAGTGTTTAACGTCGTTGCTTGAAAGTTTTCCAAGACTTTCAAGTATACTTCAAGTCTAGGGATATTAATGTGGATTTTTCACAGCCTGACGCTTAGAAAGAACAAGGTGACGACACACTCTGGTGACTGGCCTGGAAGGCAGTGGAAGAATCATCCACCTACCTAGAGAGAGCAGCTTCCGATAGTTCTCCATGTTGTCCTGGATTGGATTCTGAGGTTTCCTGTCGTCGTCCGTGTCCATGGCATTCTGGTATGACTCATCATCCTAAAACAGCAAAAAGACAGGTCTCTAAATGGAGTCTGTCCCCATGATTGTCCAAAGAGAAAAGAATAATATTGGAGACATGGGAACTACATAAATAAAGTTACAGAGGAAGTGCTTACAGTATTTGGGGTTCTGAGTGATCCAAGTCAAGTGCTACTAGGGGCCTACGGCGTACCTACCTTGGTGCTATACTCTGAGGCAGATCCCAAAGACGCATGACACATATTCCTTGCCCTCATGCAGCTTATAATTTGGTTGGAGAGAAAAGACTCATGAAACAGTTAGAGAACAATAAACAAAAAATCGGGGTACAGATAATAAGTGCTAGAGAGAACAGATAATAAGTTCGTAGAGGGACGGTTCAGGGTAGGCCTGAACAGTGGGCAAAGGTTTTTCAGAGGACCTCAGATCGGGGGCTTCAGGGGGTGGGGGAGATAATGGCACCTACAGAGGGAGATTGGCAGGAAAATGTCAAACACACAGGGCACAGTCAGGGAACAGAGAGAAGATGCAAGCACGCAGATGTACGCTCAGAACACGTGTTTCAACCTTTCCTCCACAGCCTCACTGCACAGCATGAATAAACCATCGGTCTTTCCAGCATATCCATTTCAGAATAACCCAGAAGTCACCAAGGACTTTTACGACTGCCCCTTCTGTCCTTAGCAACTATTTCCTACCACTGAACATTCATGTTCCCCACAGGCCCGGGAAGAACCTGCTTTGTGGGATCCCTAAGGCCCTCCTGGTCTGAGTGAGTCTTGTCCCAGGGAGCATGGCCCTGAGGCCTGGAGAGAGAGGGACCCGAGGAGGGAGATGGTGCCAGGGGGCACCCACAGGCTTCGGAGCTGGAAGAATTCTAGGACTGCACCAGTGAGGAGCTGTGCAACCTCGGCAACAGAAGTCTTTCTGAGCCTCAGGTTCTCCATCTGTAAAAACAGGAGCAAGAGCATCTAGCTGCCTTGCAGTGTCCTGGGCAGACACTCTGCAGTGTGCTGTGCTGCCTGAGAAAGACTACAGAGAAAATCAGACTTGTGATGCCGCCTGCTCTCGTTCTACTGCTGGGAAGACTGGTGTGTGTTGTCCTCGCCTGAAAAAGGGTAATCCGGCCTCCCCCGCCCCCAAAGTGTTTCCAGAATAAGGTGCTTCTCTCACTAAGAACAAAAGGCCTGGGCCTGGGGATTTCACAGGAAAACCGCATTTATGCACTCTCCTAGTTCCACTCATTTGAGAAACCAAAGCAACAGAAAGGAAGAAGGCTGAGGAGACAAAGCGGAATTTCAGAAACGAAATTCTTTTCAAGGTTAGATAAACAAGCTACAAAAGCAAGCTAGGAGTCACTGCTCGTAAAGTTCGGCTGCACCCTGCAGGAAGCGGGTCTCCCCTGACCGGATGGCAGGAGCCTCAGGCACAGGGACTGCTGCTCTGGCACAGCGTCCCCCGAGGACTCGGTCCTTCCCCGAGTGGGTGGGCGCACAAGTGTGTCAGGGTTACTTCAGAGGAAGCCAGAACCCGGAGCTCTGGGGGCTGGCAGGGAGCAGACGAGCTCAAGAATTTGGGAGGCGGGAGATAAAGGGTCGCCATTTCTGGGGAGCACAGAGCCCAAGGTCAAAGACATACAAAAAGGTTATTTTTCATATTATTTTTTTCTTACATCTGCGTAATTTGAATAAAATGTGTATTAAATTCTGAACTATGTTTCTGCTCTGAAGTAAAAAAAAAATTAAATTAAGTAATTCTCTGCAGGCAGGTACCATAAAGCACTTGGTATTTGTAATCAAAGGCCACAATCAGCTTCAATTGCAAGAGATGCTGCCTTGACAAAAAAAAAAAAAACGAATGTGACGCAAGTTGACTGCCTCCACATGACCTATGTCACGCAGAAAACCACATCAAAGAGGCTTACATGTGATGCCAGGAGAACCTTCTGACCGGTGCTCCCACAGAACGTAAGTGATGTGCTCACGAGGTGGTGGCAAGGCCCACATTTTGGGGACTTGCTTGGTTGCCAGCTCTTCATTTATTGGCAAGAAAGGGCATTTCAAAAGCCAAACAAGACAAACTGCAACTAACTGGGCACCGGTGACCTAGGCACCAGGCCTGCCCATGCCTCTCCTCATCTTCCTCGGCATCCCTCTGCCTGTCAGTCCAAGTCAACACCCCTGCTACAATTTCTTACTGCTCTGCTTCCCCTCCAGCAGCCAGACCCCGCAGCAGTTACACTCAGGGTAGGCCTAGGCATCCCTGCTACTGTCCAAAGCTCCTCAAGGCTGGTGCCCTGCCTGCCTGGGTCACTGCTGTACTCCTTGTGGTCCAGGCCTGATGTCTGAGGTGGAAACAGGTGCCTCTCTGGCTCCCGCATGTCTTCCTCCCCTCGCCTCCTTCCTGAAAGGACGACATAAAGCCCACAGTCTCACTTCCTTTATCTGCTCCCTATGACACGCTGCCTCATAACCTGTTGGCTGTCCAGCATGCCTCGTGTGCCAGGCAGTGCAGTAGGTACCTTCCATATACGTGTGTGTGTGGACTCCACTTACTCCTCACAGGGATCCTGTGAGGCAAGCCCATTTTACAGATGAGGAAACTGAGGATTCAGCTTAGGTGAACAGCTGATCCAAGGCCACGCACACAGCAAACGGTGGGGCCGGGCTTCGAGCCTTGCTCCTGTCAGCTCCAGAGCCGCCATCCTCCCTGGCAAGTCTTTTCTGCAGTCCTGTGACTCTGGGCCTCCTCCTGAGATCCCTAGGTCACTCTGTAGTCCGAGCCTCCAAAGGAACAACCAGCATAACCAGCCCACTTGTGATATACACACTGAAGGGGCAAGACTCTGTGACAGCATGAATGCATAAGAAAACAGGTGGCAGTAGCCACAGCCACATCACACCTGTGGGGACTGGTCCTTTTACCCATACGGGAACAAATGGAGACTCCCGGCCTTGCATGGGACTCTGGGCGATAGGTGAGCACACTGCCAGGGGAACAAAAGGCAACACAGAGAGCCTTTACAGAAAGATCCAGAAGGAGAGGGAACCAGAGCATACCTGGCATTGGGGTTCATAATCCGGTGGGTCCCTGTCATCCTCTCTGTCCATTTCAAAGCTTGATTTCGACATAACAGGAAGGGAACGATCACGGTGAGGCAGCCCTAGGGAGAGGAAACGGCATTAGGACAAGGTAAGATTTAGCCCAACCTGGCAGTGCCCAGGTTTTTCCTCCTACACTCTGGACCCATTGTGGTGCTGAGTGTGCACGCCCCAGGAGTGGCTGCCGAAGAAGTCCTACGACTTTGTAGAACCAGGGCGTGGCCAAGGGCCCCACCTCATCCTTCCATTCACCCTGATGCTGGGTGGCTCCGGCCTGGTGCCGTCCAGCCCGGTAACTCCGTTGCTGAGAAGTGACGTGGCCCCAGTATGAGGATCGCTGCATGTGGCATCGTAAACACTCACAGACTCACAACCATTTCCCTAACCCTGTTCAAAGCTGTGGAGAGGGTTCCTACTTAATTTACACTGTTACAATGCATTTGTTTTTCAGTAATTTTTAAAAATATAAACAAATACCAAGGTTTCATTTAAGTAAAAACAGATTTGAGAACAGAACATCCAAAGGTGTGGATGAAGCCACCCCCTGCAGGGCTGGCATCCCAGCTGCCCCACTCCCAATCCAGCCTGGGAAGACAGCAGAAGATGGCTCAGGTCACTGTGCCTTGGCATCCAGGGGGAGACTGGATGAAGTTCCCAGCTTTAGCCTGGCCCAGCCCTGGAGGCTGTGTCCATCTGGTGAGTGAATCAAAACGTGGAGGGTCGGCCTGTCTGTCTCTCTCTCTGCCTCTCTCTCTCCATAACTCTACTTTTCAAATAAATAAATTAATATTTGTTTAAAAAACCCAGGATACTCAAAGAATTATCAGAAACATTTCTATATTCAATATGAAAATGAGTATAGGCAAGGTAATCTGAGACTGTCCTGAAGATTCTTATTAGCTATCATATACAGATCATTCTGATACAAAGCTATTATATACAAGTCATATGGCATTACTCAAATATTCTATTTTGCTACACCTTCTAACTATCATGATTTATGCTCGTCTTTAATTTTTGTAGGTGCTTAGGCTCTTATATAGAACCTTCCAATTTAAATAAAAATACGGGGCCTGGCACGATAGTCGAATGGCTACATCCTCACCTTGAATGCACCAGGATCCCATATGGGCACCAGTTCATATTCTGGCAGCTACACTTCCCATTCAGCTCCCTGCTTGTGGCCTGGAAAAGCAGTCGAGGATGTCCCAAAGCTTTGGGACCCTGCACCGTCTGGGAGACCCGGAGGAGACTCCTGGCTCCTGGCTTTGGATCAGTGCATCTGTGGCTGTTGCAACCAATTGGGGAGTGAATCAACGGATGGAGGATCTTCCTCTCTGTCTCCTCCTTTCTATATATATGACTTTCCAATATAAATAAATAAATAAATTTGTAAAAAAAAAAAAAAAGTGGGCTGAGCATTTGACCTGGAGATTAATGTGTTACTTGTGCTGCACACGTCCCATGCATGAGGATCTGAGCTCAAGCACTGACCCTGGCACAAGTCTACCTTCCATGTGTGCCCAATGGGGGCAGGAGATGACCAAGTGGCTTTGCGCCTGTAACCAGATCAGAGACCCAAAATGAGCCTGGGCCTGGCCCATCCCTGCCTGCTGCAGTACCTGGGGTGTGGACTGGCAGACGAAAGCCCTTTCTCGAACTCTCAAAAGGAAAAACACACAACAAATTCCAGCTGAAGAAAAACAACGGCAAAAAGAGCAGAGCTGAAAACAGGTGTCCGTGGTAAGAACTGCACAGATGGGGACCGCAGCATGGACATTCAGCGTTTGATCACAGGCTGCGGGGACTGGCATGGAGTCCTGAGCAGTCTCCCAACTGGGAACATGTGTCCGGATGCAGCCAATAGGGGACTTACTGCTTCTTGGACTCCTGGGGTACGCCCAGCGGTCTCGGGGTTCCAGGTCTCTGCTTCTGCCTCTCCTGTTCCAGTCCGGGTCCCAGACATAGTCCCGATCACCTGCGCAGGGAGGACATTGGGACGGTTGACAACAAACAAGGATGTGTGTCACCCCACTGTACACAACTCTACTGAGCCTTTGGTCACGTCATGACATGCTCTGGGGACTAGCCGTGCTCCCCAGCCTGCCCCTGCAACAGAACCTGAAGACTTGGTTTGAGGACTTGCTTCAAACCAAGCTCCAGAGCTCAGCCAGGAGCAAGCTTCCCCCAGATCCTCTCTGTTTTGCTGCATGGTGCTGGCTGGAGCCTGCACACTCCTCACTCTGCAGCTTACACAGACCCACGTCAGGGCTATTCCAATACAAAGAAAACCCAGGAAAACAAAACACAAGCAGCGCTCCCTTCGGAAGCTCACAGGAGTGTCTTTACGGAACCCTCCTGGAGAGGCTGAGGGGGAAGCGCCTGTTCTGTCTTTCAGGGGTCGGGTGTCACGCCTCTGCTTTGACCACCTTATTACTACCAGAGTGCTGCTTTAAACTCAGACGCTCCATTCGGGTTCAGCTTTTAGCCAACGCACCTGGGAGGCAGGGTTGGGAGCCCCAGGTCTTGCGTCCCAGCCACCTACACTGGGTGGGTGGCATTCTGGGTTTCTGCCATCAACCTGTCCTGGTGTTAGCTCTTGTGAGCATTTTGGGCAGTAAAAAAACAGATGGAAGATCTCCCTCTTTCTTTGAAATACATTTGAAATTTTAAGAAATACATCTTAAACCAAAAAAAAAAAAAATCTTGCATTTTACTCCATCTACGGGTGTTCACATTTATGTAAAAATGTCTTAAACTGTTTACCCTCGCTTGCATCTCTAAGCGACGCCAACTGATCTGAGGGCCCACATGCCTCCATGTAACACAGCATCGGGGCTGCAACAAGCGGAGCGCGATACTCACTGCTGAAGGAACGCTCGGGACGAGGCGGCGGGCTTTCTCTGTTCCGTCTCATGTCGTCGTCGTCGCTGGTAGTTACGTCACTGTAGTCGTCTGAGAGGACAGCAGACACCAACTTCATGCCTTTACATCTGACCACAGCTTCTCCCCGTTCCTCAGCTCCCCGCGGCCCAGCAGCCGGAGTGCTTGGCCCTGTCACTTTGCAGTTTACACCTGTCTGAAAACTTCAATCACTCCCGCCACAGTCACCCACTCCTCAGCTCCTGACCTGACTGGCTCTCTTCACTACTGCAGCCCCCCACAAGCAGGCCTCTGCTCTGGGACACACTGCCATGGAGGGAGACCCACTTGGTGGTCATATCCAGTCTGAAGAGGCCATGGATGAGGTCCTCCATCTCCTAGGGTACGGGATGGCTCCATCCCCCCACCCTGTCAGCAGTGAGGGGCAGCGGTCCCCGAGGTGTGCCGGCCACCTGTGCCAACCGCCATCACCCAATGGAGCCCCTCACCTTCTGGCTGGTACATCTGATGGTGGCGCTCCAGCAGGGTGACGAGCTTCTCACAGCTCCCTGGCCGTTTGGCTCGCACCCAAGGCTTGAGCCTCTCAGGGATGATAGTCAGGTACTGCTCAAGGACTAAGAGCTCGATGATCTCCTCCTTGGTGCGAGTCTCCGGCTGCAACCAATTGAGGCAGAGGTTTCGGAGTTTGATCAGGGTCTTCCGAGGCCCCACAAATTCTACATAGAGGAAGTTCCGAAACCTCTGATGAAAGAATTCAGAGTCACTTGGGCCTTCTCCTACGATGGCATCCGGCTCGTTAGACAAGTCACTGTCTAGCTCATACAGATTTGGGGCCCAGGACTTCTTATGTTTGCTGGCAGACAAGGGTTTTGTAGGCAGCATTTTTTTTCTAAGTAAACTTTTCACTGCAGGAATCAAACATGAATCAACAGCAAAGTCGCAGCAGCCTGTGACAGTCAGTACTCAGGGACCTGCAGATCGTAACAAGATATACACATGTGCCACACGTTGAGGACCAGGTGGCAGGGGCAGGGCTGCCCTGCCAGGGGCATCAACACTACCTCAGTACGTGGAAGCCCCCAGTAGACACACACACACATGCACGCACACGCACGGCCACAGAGGGTGGGCTTCAGCACAGCACAGCAGCTACAGGCATGACCCCCGGGGCTTTGCACACGCTCTGCTTGCTCTACTACCGAGCATACAGCCATGGCCACTGAGTTAATACTCTGGAGACTGGTTCTATAATCTGCGCATGGAGAACAATCACCCTTACATCCCTTTTTAAAAACCTTAACTGTCCAAGATGAGGCACATACAAAACACTGAAGACCCTCACTAAAGTTAGATGTCCATGTGGCAGCCAAAAGTGAGAGGAGGACATGGGGAAGCTGAACCAATCCTGCCATTTCTAAGCATTTCCCCCCTTAACACAATTCTGAAATGCGATCTACAACACATGAAAGCTGGAAGACCGCACGAGTGCTTTCTCTACATCTGTACTGTTTTATAACACAGCTGCTGGCTATCTCAATCAAAAGTCAAGAGATCAAAAATGCAGTTCCTTCTCCACTCTGGTGCTCAGCGGGCACTAGCATCTTGCAGCTACGGCCATACCTAACAGTGAATAACACCTGCTTCATCATTCAGCACTTCTGAGCTTGCAGGTGGGCTTGGGACCCTCCCTCACCATGCGCTTCTGGGGTGTCAGTTCCAAAGCATGGTCTGATGCTAAGGTTACTTCCTCAGGTGTCTCCCTTGGCAGTTCATTCACTGGGTATCACAACCGTGAGTCACAAACATTCTTTTACTGCCTACCTCCCTTCAGTAAACTAGCAACTCTAGTGAAGGGAGGAGACAGGAACGTTTTCTGCCACTGCATCCCCTAGACTCCAGCACAAACTGATACGTTCACAATGAAATGCGATAATGAAAATACTGTATGAAAATGCACTCTGAATTGGTTTCAGTTGGATTCTGAATCCATACTTGAAGAAGCACAAGACGGGATAAGGGAAATTGTGGGTTACCCTCCATGAGCCTCTTCTCAGTGCTAGTGGACAAGCATGTATGCGAGGTACTAATGGGTACTTACGAAGTTGTGCACAAAGCAGGTTCAGCAAGAATTCTGTTTTAATAGGGAATCCTAATTTTAAACAATAGGAGTTAAGAGACAATAAAGGAAGACAGGAAGTGTTTGCATAACACTGAAACAGTCTCTAATGAGACTTCAAATACTATAAATCATAAATGTATGAAGTATAAATAAATGTACTTTCTTAATATTATAATGTATTAGTCTCAGGACCTCATGTTCTTCCTTCTCAGTGAGGGGGCTCTGGTTTCCTGCCTGTGCAAGCCACCCTACCATGCTCTCTCTCTCTCTCTCCTTCTGCTACACGGCATGGACTTTGGGTGCCACCCACCACCACAAACACGGCTTGATTCAGAAGACCTCGGTAACTCCCTCCTTGTCCTCCTCTGAGGGCCATAGCTAAGACTCCAGGAGATTTCTGATATGAAAACATGACCAAGAGCAGAGTCCTCTGGTTTAAGGGCAGAGGCAACGGCAGAGAGCCTTAACCCTGCTCTGTGGCATGCAGACACACGGCAGCACCCGGGTAGCCTACATGGAAATATCCCTCACTCTAGAACAACGCAACACCCTCAAGCATGTAATCACCTGTCCAGGAATAGGATCCTTTCTAGAACTTCAGGCCAAGCAGCTATCCACAGGAAATGAATCAAGATGCAGGCACCTGTAGACATTTCAAATACAGAGACACATGGACTAAGAAACATAAAAGAAATGTGAAGAGAATCAACTCCCCAGAGCCGGGACTTGGACACACCACAGTAAGGCCTAACTCTTCAAGAAAAGCCCATTCACAGCCATGTTGTGCACACCAAGCCAGAGATGAGGGGTTAAATGCCTCTATATGTTATCAAACTAGAGTAATTAAAAAAAAAAAAAGACAAAGATAACACTAGCAAAGCAGACCATATGCATTCCCGGAAGCAGAGAAGAAGTCTTCGTGCTGACGTTATGAAAATGATTCTACAGTTTTAGCTTGTTATACAAAAACAAAAGCAAATGTAATGCACAAAGAAGTGAAAACCACCACCCTCAAAGCCGTGTATCTGAGATATAAAGTATTACCAGGTGACAACTTCTAAGAAATAGAGGTTTAAAAACTGTAACAGAAAACTGAAAATAGTTTTTCTAAGAAAATATAAATAACCACAACCTGAGTGCGGGCAGAAGAAAATATGAACCCATGGGGGGAAATCTAGAAAGTTGAAATGACTAAAAGTAACGCTGCACTGGCCAAGTATTCACAGATCTCCACAACAAGCAGCTGGAGAACTTCCCCTTGTGAACTCTCAGCTCTCTCACCAGAAGGCAGCAACTCCACCCCGCTCCTCAAAAACCTGAAAAACTACAGGATTCTTTAAGATATGGGATCTTCATTATTTTAGAAGGAATTTTAGAAAATGTATTTGAAAGGCAGGGTTACAGAGAAAGAGGGAGAGAGAGATCTTCCATTCACCAGACCAGACCAGGCCAGCAGCCAGGAGCTTCACCCAGGTCCCCTAAGTGGGTGTAAGGGCCCAGGTCCTTGGGCCATCTTCCACTGCTTTTCCTGGTACATTTGAGCGGAGCTGGATGGGAACTGGAACAGCCAGGATTCGAACAGGTACATTATGGGATGTTGGACCTGCAGCAGCAATTTTACCTGTGGTGCCACATAGCTGGCCCCATGATCCTCATTTAATGCTCAAATTTTTTTCAGGCCCAGCACAATGGCTCAGTGGCTAAATCCTCACTTTGCATGCACCAGAATCCCAGTTTGTGTCCCAGCTGTTCCACTTTCCATCCAGCTCCCTGATTGTGGCCTGGGAAAGCAGTAAAGGATGGCCTACAGCCTTGGGACCCTGCACCCATGTGGGAGACCCTGAAGAAGCTCCCAGCTCCTGGCTTCAGACAGGCTCAGCTCTGGCTGTTGTGGCCACTTGGGCAGTGAACCAGTGAATGGAACATCTTTGCCTCTGCTTCTCTTTCTCTCTGTAAATCTACTTTTCAAATAAAAAATAAGTCTTAAAAAAAAAAGTTAAGAAGCATTTTTTTTTTCTGCCCAGGACACAGAATAATCCTTGTCTACAAGAGCATCAAATAGTACTTAACAGGAAAAGCTAAAAAAAAAAAAAATCAGACTTCACTTCTTGCTAGGATGGAAGATAAAATCCGTGGGCGAGGAAAGAGTTGGTGTGAGGCCTTGGAACAGCATCTTCCGCAGTGACTACGTGCCTGTGGAGAGCCGCACACGCACACACTGGCCTCGCTGAAAGTACAACGGTACACGGCTGGCCTGCCGGTCCCACTGCCAGGTACTGACGCACGTTGGCTGAAGTGTGCTTCATGGGGAGCCTATTCATTCCTAGGCTTATGAAAGATGTCCTCTAACGGAACTGTCATCAATACTGCTGTCCTGGATGTTCCAGCTACTGCAACTGGACCAAAAAAGAAAGGCTTAAATATGGAAAAAATACTATTCTGAATGGAAAGATCCTATCAGCAAATAAACCAAAGGGAAAATAATCAGTAGCAAAATAAATACATTTCTCATAAATCAATAAAGTATGTACAAGTCTAAATGATATTCTAAAAATCTGCACAGTACAAAACACGAATATATGTCCTTTTTTTTTTATTAATGAAGAGGAAAGAGAAGAGGCAATCCAGCTGCACTAGAGGAATGGCTGCATAGGAACAGTAAGACGAGTCTGCAGGTCCTGCGGGGCTCAGGTGGGGAGCTGACGAAAGGAAACCCTTTCAACACAAAGACTCGGGGCAAACGCCAGAACGCCGGGAAGCCCAGCCGAGTGCAGAAGTCACTGTGTGCAGAAGTATATACACAACGGGGTTTCAGCTTTCAATAAAGCAAAGGTTTTAAACCAGGTAAAGGATTAACTTCCAGGGTAACTGTGGTGTCTGACCTCTCCGAGAGGGCCACCTGCCTGGAACACAGGAAAGGCCAGTAAAAGAAGCAGGTTTGAGACTCTGTGAAGGGGCATTCCAATTCCGCCCCTTTGGAGGGCTACAGCACCCAGGGCCAGGGCCAAACATACTTGGTTCCCACTAACATAAACCACTGCACTCAATAAACTGCATTGCTTCTCAGTTTTCATTAAACAAAGAATATAAAAAAAAATCCTTGCTAGTCTATTAAATCATATTTTCAGGAATTTTTTTTTTCAAATTGCAAACATTAAGAGTACCACATTCAAGCGCTATAAAACATTCAATGTAGACACTGTAAACTACACTTCTTGATCAAGTCTGTTCTTGCTCAACTTTTGTAAAGTGTGCGAGTGTTGCTCTCAACACACACGCTCTGCGTGCAAGCAGCAAGTTAGTGTCCACACAGTGAAACCTCGCGGTCAGCAGAAAGCAGCGTTGGAGGCTGCATCCTCAGGTTCCAAACGCTGAACGGACAGCACATCTCATGTATGCCAAGTGCCATGCTTATTTAATCTCATGGCAGTACGTACAACCTAGAAGAACATTCTGAAGAAATTTGTATAAAGATTTCTTAAAATGAAGGAAAGCTATAAGTCATTAGTTAAACATACTTCTGTTTCTTTTTCTATTTCTTTGCAAAATGTTATTTTCCAGTTCACAATCAGGAAAAAAAATACATAAAAATCGGCAGTGAACTCCCTTGCTGTTTTCTAAGGTATCTTCGTTTTCTTCCTGCAGCTCATCAGCCCCTCCTCCTGCTGGCGTCTTCCGGACTTGGGTCTTTTCTACAGGTGACCCCTTCATCCCAGCCACTTCACCAGCGAGTACCCCTGCTTGCTTTGCAAGTGCCCAAGTC